AAAAAAAAAAAAAAAAAAAAAAAAACAGGGAAAAAATTCCATGATCTTGCATTTCACCAGAGAAGATTGAAAAAATAAAAATAAAAAATAAAAGAAAAGAGAAAATCTGGAATTCTGCATTGTGATTCTCTGAATCCCTATTGGGATCAGAGTGTCATTTATCAAAAAAATTTCCCCAAATATTATTTTTTTTTTTTTTTTTNNNNTTTTTTTTTTTTTTTGTCTGAAAACAAATACATACAACACATGAAAAGCAAATGTATGCACATTTTTTTCTCCTTACATGTGTTGTATGTATGTGCCATGGCAGAACAACAACAATGGGACATTCTTGAAATGGGCCTCTGAATAATCAAGGAATCAATAAATTAAATTATTTTTTTCCTGGAAAATCTTGAGAATTTGTGGGCATGGCTTCGGAAAGTGAAGCGAAAATGAAAGGGTGGCTCTATATGATTCGTTACATTCGTTTCGGCCTGCAATATTCGCGTAAAAGATATTTCATTCTTGAAGACAATTGCCTCAAGAGCTTCAAATCAATTCCTACTTCTGAAACAGAGGTGCGATTTTCTGTTTTCTTGTTTTTTTCTTTTTTCGGTTATGCCTTAATGATGTTTCTTATATTATTCTAATGCATGCAAATGCAAGTAGAACATGGTGGTGGTTGTTACAAATTTGCATGAACGTAAAATTCGTAGTCAGTGTTAATTTCATGCACTACAGGTGATGTTGGAGTCGAAAAATAGATTTCGAGACTGATAATATACTTTGTAATGAGCTTGGCTAATCTTTTCTGCACAGAACATCTCTAAATAATTTAATTACGAACGCCTGATTTCATTCATGGCCACTTTTCGTGCAGGAGCCTTTAAGAAGTGCAATAATAGATTCGTGCATACGAGTTGTGGACAATGGACGTGAGAGCCATAATAGAAAAGTATATACCCTGCAAAATGAGTTCTCTTTGAAACATTTACTGGAAAAATAAAAGAAAATATTTACTTTTGGTTTACACTTTATATACATATGCTTATAACAAATTTTCTTACCCTTGCAGCTATTTTTCATTTTCACCCTTTACAACACTTCTAATCATAACGATCGGCTCAAGGTACACTATTATTGAATTTTAGTTTTTTACAATCGAAACGGTTTGTTGAAGTGGATTACAATTGTATTTGAAATTTTTACAGCTTGGAGTTACAAGTTCAGAGGAAGCTGCTAGGTGGATTCATTCTCTACAGAATGCCGCACTTAACCCGGGAAAAGATTTAACGTCTTATTCCGAACGAAAATGGCAGCCGTTTAGGTAGGATTAGGAATATATATTGTTCTCTGCTCACTTACTCGTAATTTCAACTCTCTTCAAATCACATTCCTACATTCCTATTTCCTTATATTTATTG